AACCTAAACATAAAAATGCTTCTGTTTACGGTAGTTTTATTAATGCATTACATTCTGGCACAAACACAAACAACACACATGCTGTTAATCATGTCTTTCTTAAAGTTTAAAGCTACTAAAACGCATAATTAAAGAAATTATGCTGTTAATCACATAATATTGCTGTTATTCACATAACACTATGTTATGTAGTTAAATAAATAGAAGAGAGTAATTATGTAATAAATGATCTCAGACACCTGCGTTGTGCATGAAGCCAAAAGGCTACAGCAAAGAATGATTTCTTTAACAGGCAACCAAGAGGTCAAACTCCATTAGCGATGTTCCAGCAGACAATCTGAGAAAAAGCTTGTTCCTCATCTAGCAGAGAGTCTCTGAAAATGGGCACCTTTTTGTCAGGGCAATTTGTTGATGATGCATGGTTATGATAAGAATTGAATGAAGTGTCTGTAGCTGCCCAGGGCCTCCATAGCCAAGGCGCCGGGGCCAACACGAGTAATCAACCCAGGTCCAGATTGAGCCCTTGATAGTAGAGGGTCCCTGATTGCTCATAAGTACCCCCAGGCGGCAGGCATTTAAGACACTTTCTGCTGATTTTGACTGACAGCTGGTCAATCAAAATCAACATCTGGATGCAGCCATTATCAGTGCAGAAGTTTACCTCAGATGCTGGTGTTCGAGCCACTATCTGCTTGGATAAAATACATCTCATGAACTCTATATTTAATCTACCAGCTGTATCTGGCTGTAATATCACTAGAATCTGTATTGGGTTTACTAGTCTTCCTTTTTCATAAGAAAACACAAGGCTGTAGAGGAGATAGAGCACATTTTCAACACATTTGAGTTTTAAAGTGACACTATGTAACTGAACACCCACTGTGACTGCAAGTGACAGTTATGGGATTAGAAATGTAGCTAAAACGCTTAACTATTGGAACAGTGGAGTTTTAGCACAACATCTTATGGAAGTTTTAAAGTGAAACTTTTGCTAAACAGCAGCAGCTGCAAGTGATAGTAATGGGCTAATGCTGAATGTGAAACTACTGTTCAGCCCGTCACCCTTATAATAGTATCTCATATCATTTTTATGCAGATGATATGCAGTTGTACAACAGACTTCAGTAACAGCCTATATATTCTCCATGACTGTCCTCATAAGAGAAAGAAATGGATGGACCAAGATTTTTATGCTGTTAAATGTTGACAAAACTGAGGTATTAATTCTCTCTCCTGCTCCCATTGTTAAAACAGTTTAGCAATCCAATAGTTATTTATCTAACCACGTTATACCAGTGTGCAAGGATGTGGGATTGTGACAGTGCCTTGAGTCAAAAGTTATGAAGTCTTTCATACCTTCATAACCTCCCAGGTAGACTACTAATGTACTTTTTTCAGGCTTATCTTTATTTTAACTGACTCCAGCTTTTCTAAATCTCCCTTCACATTACTCTCATTTTAACTTCAGTACACTTGCTCCCATTTTGTTTTAGAATCATAATTTAATTGCCTATACACTGCCTAGACAGTAAGTGGTAAATTCCAAGCATACATTGCAGAATCTTATCTTTCACAATGTCTGAGGCTGTTTCATTCAATATTTTTAAATATTGTATGACTAAATTTTTTACCTACGCTTTTTTGCAGTAATTTCTTTCATTGTAAATATTGCACCTGTGCCTTTAGCCGTTTTGTTTCTGTTGTAATTTTTTTATGTGATTTATTCTGGCACCCGGTTAGCTCAGTCAGTAGAGCTGGCAACCCATATACGGAGTTGCTACAGTGGCCCAGGTTCGAATTCGACCTGCCGCCCTTTGCTGCGTGCCATCCCCTCTCTCTCTCTGACCCCCTTTCCTGTCAATCTTCAGCCGTCTCTATCTAACAAAGGCATGAAAAGGCCAAAAAAATAACTTAAAAAAAGAAGTGATTTATTCTTATTTTTTAATTTCTATTTTATGTATCGTACTATGTAACCACTTTTTAGCATCCATTTACTCTAAATGTTAAGCACTTTGTAAACCTATGTTTTTGTAATTATCATTATGGCCATAAGCTATTGTTCATACCAGAACATGTAAGGATGTAGCAACAAAAAAGTATATTGAATTGACCAACAGTGTGTTATATTGCTAATGAATTCAACACTGTAATCTGTAAGAAGAAGAATGCATTATTTATTTGCTCAAATATACTCTGAAATAAAATTGTAAAAACATAAAAAATATCTATCTAACCTTCTTTCATGTTTAAGGGTTTTTTTGTACATTTAATTCTCTTCAGAAGTGTTAACAAGAAATGGTTCCAACTTCAACTGATTATATATGTCCTCCAACTACACTTCAAAAGTTTTCTATCCATCTACTGATTTCTACAAGAACCCTTCTATTTGTTATATCTAGTTTTACAAGTGATCTCTGTGGTTTTGAATAGGCTATGCAATAGGCTATCATGTACAGCAACTTGTAAGAAAGAACACTCTCTACATCTCTTCCTGTAGGTTTATGTGAACCGCATCATAATGAGCACACTCGGTGACCTTGGTTACTCCTGACTCACACTTAAAAATCTCAGATGTTTTGTTTTTGCCAGGTTCAAAGCTTTGGAAACTATGTCAATACCTGTAAGGAGACGACATATTTACCAAGCAAAGATTCATAACAAGTGTATTGCAATCTCTTGCATCACTGTGAATTATACTGTCAGTTGTATTCATGAACCTCTGAGTGCTGTCGAGATGCAGCGACAGCAAAGATATGCTAGTCGGCTACTTTGAAACACAAATCTACATTTTTGTCTGAGTTAGATTTTCACACTTGACTAACAGTTATTGTTAAAATTTAAAATTGACAAAATAGAAGAACCAGTGCAATTTGATTTTGAACTTTTTGCAATGTATTCTTTTGCAGCTGAAATTTTTTTTTGTCCTGATTAAATTTAATAGTACATTTTCATGTAATGGCAATGGTCCAATTTAATTCCAAAGTTGCTACCATGCCAAGACCAACAATAACTCAAACAAAGGAAGGACATAAAGCCAAATATTTGATTACTTTTTCCTTATTTTCTCCCAAGCTGTAATCTTCAGTACACTAAGGAGAATACAGAGGACAGTAACCCTCACTGGCTTCCCACCAGTTATCTTAACATAGGGACCATTTATTTTGTACATCAATTCACTTACAGTCAACTATGGTGTAGTATCACTTTTGTATACAATTAATTGTAGTCAAAAATGAAGTGGTTGAATGTGCTGGTGGAATTTGTACCCATCAATAATTCTGAAATTCTGGCTATGGCCCTGCTTCATTGAAGAACTGGTTGGGTCAAATTTAGACAGTGTATCAGATGTCATCGTGGGTGCTGTTTGTGCACAAACACACAACAAACTAACTAAACAATTCATAGACAAGGTTCATGATTTTTTGCTCCCCCCATTTTGGTCTCAAAATCTGAATTATGGCTTTATTTCTTACTAACATGGCTCTGAAACTGCTTTGGAGGACCCAACACAAATTACAGGTATTATTTAAACAGCTGTTTTTAAATCACATCTGGATCCCGATGTCTGAACATTTTCTTGAATTAATTGACCAGGGTGCTCCATAGGCAAGTTTTCTAGTTAGGGTTTAGCTGTTGAAGACATTGAGCCCTAGGTGTTGTCTTTAATGATGTGACTTAACATGATTTTCTAAAGCTTATTCAGATATATTCTTAAATCCATGTTTTAAGGCCAAAATAAGGCCATTTGGAGATAAAATTCACAAAAAATACAAAGTTATGGATAAATCAATATAAAATGTGAAAAATGTAATATTAAGATATTTTTCGAGGGAATTGTCTGCAGGTTTTGGGGGATTTCAGTCGCACAAGAAAGTGTTTGGAAACAATATTTGTGTGGTTTTAGGCCAAAAAAGGCATTTAACATCCTGTATAGAGATAACATTTGCATAAAATACAATTGACCTGTTAATTAAATAAAATATATAACAAAATTGAATATTATGAAAACTTTTGTTGTAGTCAGGGCTGTAGCTACCACTGAAGACATCAAATACATGTTTTAGGGGGTTTCTGGGGGATCTGAGGGATTTTAATGACATGTGGAAGACTTCACATGCAATTACACGTGAATTACCAATGGTGCATTACATAAGACTCATTCAAATGTTTTTAGAAACAATATTCTTAGATGTTGCTGTTCATAGGCCAGAATAAGAACTATAAAGCAATATTTAGCATTCTATAGGTTGATTAAATTTACAGAAAATATAATTTTACTGTTAAATAATTATAGAAAATGAGACCCTTTTAGTGGGTAATTACACGTTCTTTCTTGGGAAAGATGTAATTGGTGGAAATTTTTAAAAACTGGAGGGTCAAATACCATACATGAACGCTATGTACATGTTTCTTTGTCAGGCATCACACGAGTATTTGAACACACCTTTAATGCAACTTCCTTTGACTACAAGGCACAACCTGGCCAACTCGCAAAAGACTCCTCAGATGGCCGACGGTGGGCCTCGCAGTCATCACACACCGCCTCAGTGGAGCGTCGGTGCTTTGTGCCGATCAGGCCTTTCAACTACAGAAGCCTCATCAAAAAGAGATGTGAAAAAAAACCCTCTCCTCCTCTCTCCCCAACCCCTTCTCAGGTTCCATGAGCTCCCCACATACACAGAGGGGGGCGTCATGTTTTTTAATCATCGATTATTGTTGTTAGGTGCAGCTTTTAGGTCATTTTTACAACCTCAATTTATTTACTTACGTCTCATTGTTCAGATGGACTGAAAGAAATCCCTTCAGTCTATTAAGGAACTGAATGTCAATTTTATTTTCAGCAAAAGGATAAAAACATCATTTGCACAATTCTGCCTCTTCAAAATAAATAATAATACATATCGGTTGTACATGTTTACACCCAATTGTAACATAATTTGTTTAAGCTGGAAAAAGAAAATCGGCACAATGCGGCACATGATTATTATCATACTTGTGTCCTTTCACCATCAATAAACAAATCATGGACATTATTGGTATCATTTCTGAATGACAATATATGCTGGACTCTGCAAACTACAGAAGCAAAATTCATTTACTTACAAACTGCAACTTTACCCATTTAACAACTCACTTCAGAAAACAAATAATTTTTTTTTCTAGTGGCGTAAATCTCGCTATCAAACACAACAAGGACCGATCCTTTGTAGCAGACATATCCAGGCCCCCCGCCTCATACAAAAGCAGAACAACTGAATTTTATAGCTCAGAAATTATACATTGGACTTGGAAATAGAAAGGTGGAAGAAAAAACAGACTTAGACAACACTACATTGCAACATCTGCAAAATGTATTGTTAGGAGAATAAGAGAAATTATATGCTTTCCTGTTTCACCCAGTGGAGACATCAAACTGATGAGAGTGTCATCCTTTTTTATTATTTGCACAACTTATGTCTTCACATCACTTCCTTAGCACATCAACTACTTGTTTATACTGTATGTGTGCAGTTGCACTTTTCATATAGTGTTGAGATTTATGACAGAGACAATGAATAATGTGGCTCTGTCACTTAAATGTTTATGAAAAACAGCTTCTCATCACCCGGCTCCCCAACCCAAAAACAGAAGAAGAAAAAAACAAACATAGAAATTGTTTGTCAAATCTCATATGAAGTCAAGTGACTACTGATTAGCCGCCAGGGACACAGCATTTCATGAGAAACGTTTATGTTTTTTTTAGCACAAAGATAGCAGAGGAATGCATCAAAGCAAGAGTGCTGGGCCCGTGCCCATTGCTGGAATGAAAGGACAGGTGCCTCCCCGTAAAAAGGCTTCCAACATGTATGCATTCTGCAGTCAATGGTTGGACCGGAGCCCAAAATCTGAAACCTTTAATGTCTTTAGCACACAAGGTTTCCTCCTCAGTCAAGCCACTTTTGAAGTCTGTGTCAAAACTCACCATGGCACGCTTTTGAAAATCCATACAAGGAGGTAAACAAACCGAAAATCTTTGAAGTCAAAGTGTTTTTCTTTCAATCTCTCTTGTGTTGTCTTTGAATCTTTTCCTCCAATGCACTAAGGCAGACAAAATCATTTTCTCTGACAATAAATTACTGGGGGATTTTTTTAAGTCCAAGAAATGTTAAGAGAGACATTTAGGGGCTATGAGAAGACACTAGTGCCGTCGCTGTTGCCGTACAGGTCAGCCAGCTTTTTGAAGCGCGGCCCCCAGTTGCTGAGATAGTCATAGTTCTGATCTGAGTCTGTACTTAGTGACTCCAGAGAGCTTAGCGACTCTGCTACAGAGCCGCTGCCTTCAAAAGCATATGTCTGCAGAGAGTCGTACGGGGGAGCTGACGGGTCCACATCAGCATCCTTAAGTCGCTCCCAAATAAACTCTCGAAACACCACGTTGTCCGGCAGGGATTTATACGGCGGGCGAGTAGTTGAAGGGTAATGAAAGAAGGTAGGAGTATCTGGCGTGACATCTCGTCGCACGTTGGGGTCTCTGATGACGTTTAGGTTGCGGAGGGTGACCATGTCGAATGCCTCTGTGTCCTCCTCTCCCCCGCCCTCGTCGTCGTAACGAACGATGTTCTCTCTGATGTCTCTCTCCTCCTCAAGAATCAGAGGCTCCTTTTTCCTCCGACGCATCGTCACAATTAGCAGAACCATCACTGCAGAAAGAGGGAGAGACGTCTGAGTCAATATTGACTGACAACGTGCATTTTCTGTGTCAGTCAGCTGAAAAGATGCAGGGATATTTGGCTTTTAGAACAGCTGAATACACTATGATGTTGATTCTCAATCAATGGTACATGGACTGCAGATATTGTAGAGTATATATATCTATATCTATGTCAATATCAATGTCTATATTTTATCTATATGTAGTATAAAATAAAAAGTATATACAAAAAAATAAAAGTAATATAATAAAAGTATAAAATAAATAAAAATTGTTAGCTAAAAGTAATGACAAATGTATTCAAATTGTTAGAAGTTCTTACGGCGGAAATTTAATGGCAAGCTAACAAAACCCACTTTTAAAAAAACGACCAGTCTTAAACAACATTCTCTTTAAAATCTTTCAAATGATCACATTTGAAACATGATGGATGGTGTCAGTAAAGCTGTTTTTGAGTTCATCTGGCAAAAAAGGTTGGGAACCACTTCACTATGAATCCAATCAGGGTTTACAAAACTAAACCTGCAATGTAATATATTGTGCCCCTTTGTGGTTTCCACTAACTACAATTTGCTTCAAGACTTGTACAAAACTCCACCACACTGGAATCTGTGGCCCTCCGAGATCCTACCAGGAGCCCTCCTCCAGCCCCTGTTCCCTCTCCCATACATTATTGCTGAAAATAACTCTACGCCCAAGCAAACTGGCAAATGTCTAATGATTCTCTATCCATCAATGTCAAGCTGGTGCCAGTGAAATATCGTTCCGTGGGCCCATATTTCTTTTCCTTCTCAGCGTTGAGCTACTGCAGGCAGCAAAGGAAGAGGCCCAGGAACCAAATTCAAACACCACTTCACACCCTCTAATAAGGGAGCAAATGGAAGAGATGGAAGGGAGGGAAGTGTCACATGGAAAGGCTGCAGGAGATGAATGGCTAGCTCTCTCTTGGCTATTTGGTGACTGCTGGTACCCAAACAGCAGCCCTAGTACAGTTTTTGTGAAATACTTGGAATGGTCCCTTCAGTACTGCTAATATGCATCGCACTGTTTTTTAGTGTTTTAAGACAGAACGT